TCCTGGGGCTTAATATACAAGGGGCCTTGTATCGGGTATCAACAGACACTCTTCACCTGTGTTTAGAGGCTTTATAGATAAACAAATAGTTACATTTTAATTTGAACCTTCGTGTCCCTTATCAATGATTTCAATTCTATAGCTCATGTTTTGTGCAAAGTGTTTTCTTTTACGAGACTTGACTCCCTGAATATTTTTAAACTATATATACTTTCACCCATGTCTAGATGTATGCTCATAATTCAGTGTCATGTTATTAATATGCTCGTGCCAACAATGGTATCGAGTGTTGGCCACGTTAGGAGTTTAACTTCGGTGTCAAGACAATATCTATGCACATGTACACTAGATACATCACAAATTTGAAATGAGATAGATATATTTATGCACAATACGCTATCACAAATATATAGAATGTATCGATGCCCTCTCAGAACCAAGGTGTAAAACTATGCATAGATATATTGGATACACCAATTCAATTTTAATGCTAGCTATATACATAATAATGATACAAGATACACTAGATATTTGATATTAGACACATTTTATGAAAATTGATATATACAAACACACAAGATACATTTGTGCATATTTAATACTAGATATACAAATACATTTTTTTGATAAAGTACTAAATACAGAAATACATGAAATTGTGAAATATAGATACATTGTGAAGTGTATACAAATAAGTAGAGGTACTAGAAAGGGAGACAAACAAGAAAAAGAGGAGAGAGATGAGATATATTTGTTAGATACACAATGCATCTAGAGGCGCATACAAATACATTCTGAAACACACACACACACACACATATATATATGAAAGTAGAAGTATAAGAGAGGGAGAGAGTGAGTGAGAGAGAGAAAAAGAGAAGAGAGACGTGAGATACATCTTTTAAATATAATGTATCTAGAGACATATACAGTGTATCTAGAGAAAACTAGCAAAGTAATGTTGTGCATGTTTTTTATTTTTTTTTGGATGAAACATGGTGATATTTATTTATCCAAAATGGTGAGAAGTGATCTGAGATTTGAAATCTTTATTTTGCTCATGTTTGTTGTGTCCAAACCCACAACAAATTCAATAATTTATGGCTTCACTTTTACATGTCACAAAGTGATTATTTTGGGTCTTAACACTAAAAACATGAGTATCATATTTAGACATCAATAGTTGCATGCATGTCAAGATAATTATCTACTAATTTTCAATAGTACCATTTCTAGCTCTAGCTCATTGTGTTGGGACGATAAATATTTTTATGATAATATTTTTTTTTGTATTAATTATCAAACCTAAGAAACTTACTTGAAATTTTCTAGAAAAATAATTTTTTGTGTGAAAAAAATTGTTTTTGTACCGAACATACCCAAGATGACAAAGCTACTATAATAGGACCCATTTGGTCGCAAGAATATTTGGATAAAACTTGAAAAAAATTAGGGAAGTGGTGTTCGGTCATATAATTCGGCAAATATATTTGTCAAGTATTTAAAATTTTCAAATACTAGAAAAAATTAGTATTTGGGCCAAGTTCTAATATTTGAAAAAAAATTTAAAAATGCAAAAAATATCCCAAACTTTTATATTTTATAAAAAATACTCATTTTTTATTAATTTTAACTGATATTGTTACTACATCCTCCGAAAAAGTTCAAATTCTAATTTGAGTGACAAAATTGATAAAAAGGAACAACTTATTTTTAGTTGGTTATAATTATAATGGAATCAAAGACAAGTTTGAATATGCGAATAATATATTGTCTTGTGTATATTAATATTTTCTTGTTATTGATTTTTATCAATTATGGTATAAGGTTATTTTTTAAAGAAACATATTCATTATAAAATGATAATATGAATTTATGGCCATTTTAAATAATTTTTAGAATATATGAATCTAAATCATATTTATTGAAATAGTTAAATATTCTTGGAAAAACTTAAAGCCAAACACATGGTATAATTTGATAAAAAACTTGGCTCAAATATTATCCGTCAAAAATATTTAAAAATTTGATGTCAAACACTAACTAAATCACTTCTATTTAAAAGCTTTTTTTTCCCCATTACTATATCTAGTATATTTGAATTTCACAAACTAAAAAAAGAAAGAACAAAACTTTTCAGATAATTGATTTATAGAAAATAGAATAACGTGAAATAGTCCTTCAATAATGAGGAAAAAGGTAGAAGGGACTCATATTTTTATATTAGGTAAGAATAATAATGGCGGAGTTAAAAATTAAAAAAAAAAAAAAAAGGAGGGGGGGGGGGGGACCGGGGAGATTCAACTTAAATGAATTTCAAGCTTACACTAAACTCCATGACAACAATAGCGAGACATGAAAATGGAAGTAATCAAATGAGGTCTTCTTTTATTTACTTTTAACAATGTCATACAAATATAAGAAATTATTTATTAACTTTAAATTAAATTATTACGTTTAAGCTTTATTTCAAACTTTATTGAAAAGAAATAAAAAGTTAAATTAATTGAAAATTCAATCACTTTATTAGTTTTTTTAAGTTATAGATTTTCAACAAATTTACACTATTATTTAGAAAATTAAAAAGGAATAATAAAAGAGGAACTTCACGTATGACCACTCAAAAATAGTATAATTACTCTTCATAGATATAGTTTGATAATTATAATTCGTAGCTACATGTTATATGGAGGAGAGAGGCGAGCGAGATTGGGAGAGAGAAGGAAAAAGTGGGAGAAAGGTGAATGTATATGTATATCGATTAGATAATTGTATAGCATACATATTTATTTGTATATTCTGGTGAATTATACATATACATACATGACTAATTATACAGACTCGAAATCAGCCACTTAATTAATGTATAATGCTAGTCGCGAATGATAATTATAACAAACTATAACTATGATGAATAATAAGTAGTATAAATTTTCTTAACCGCATAATTTTTCTTCTTTAAGAAATGATCATATTGTGAGTGTCGGCAAGGATTCAAGCCTACGTGTATGGGCTTCACAAGAGAGCCTCAAATCACTCAGCCGATATAGCTTATTATGTCAAGGGTGTCTAAAATATTAAATTTAACCATTTTGAACAACATTTTACTTAGGTGTATGCATGTATGGTATAATTTTCTGGCGAATTGGACATTTTCAAGACACTGTAGCTCCGCCCCGGAACAGAAATGACTATTTTGAGATTACCGCTAATGACACTATGTATCAATATATCATTTTAAAAATAATATGGTAAATTATAAAATTGTTACTATTTCAGTGAATATTAATGAGAAACTACACTGTGTTATGATGATATTTCTGAAATGACAAATACAACTTATTTTTGAAAGTCTAGTTGATGGTTTGAACTCTTGTTTTGTTTACGGCAACATTGCTTTCTATAGGCATCATCTTCATATTTATGCATAATTTAAACAAGATTCACCTTTAAAATGCAACAATTTTTATAGCTTATCATCTTATTAGGCAGACTTGATGCAGATTTTAAGTTTATTAAGCAGTTTGATTAGGAAAATTACTTGTAGATTTTTAATCATAAATCAATCAGTATAGTAGATATTTTTGCAACAATATATTTGTTTTTATTTGAGAAGTTACTATCACTATATTCAAAATCTTGTTTTTATTGGAGAAATTACTTTGAAGTTTTGTAATACAAATGAACAAGCAACAAACATTTTCACAAAACTTCCACAAACAAAGTACGAGTTGTTAAAAGATTTAACTTACATTTTGTAATTTTAAATGTAGGAGAATATAAAAAGATGATTCATATAAGCAGCAAATTAGTGATAAGCTGGGGCGAATTTTAGAGGCGAAAAAAAAGGAAATCAAAACTTGTGGTCTTTCAATAAAATTAGATATTTTATACATATATTTTTTAAAATTTGCATAATATTATATTTTGATACCCGTACTATAAGAATTCAAATTGATCCACGCGGTTAAATATTGAAATTTTAACCTTGAGGAACTAAGACTCTAAAACATGATTTATAAATCCTTGCTAAATCACTAGCTAGGCCTTATCAAACAAATTTTTGCTCACAAGTCACAACTTGGTTTAATTTTTTATTTTTTTTAAAAAAATAACTTTTCTCCAAAAGTTTCAATAAGTTTAAAACCTTTTCATCACAACACAAATTTGTCAAATTTTCAATCTTTCAACCATAGCTAGATGCAAATAAATCTTTTCCTAATTATTTGGCAAGTGAAATATAAAATGACATAGGAAAATATTTGAGATTTTTATCAAACAAGAAGCGAGGAATCACAACCGCCACCCAATCTCACCTTGTCAGTACTTATTCAGAGACTATCATGTTCAGTGACGAAACTAAAATTTTTAATAAAAGAATTAAATATCTAAAAAATTAAACACACAACTAATCAAAAGAAATTCGACATGTATTGATATACATAAAAATCAATTTTAACTAGAGGTATACGTCATCAGGTTGGTTTGATTTATTCAAATATCAAACCAAACTATTCATATAAAAAATTTGAACTTATTAATCAAACCAAACTAATAAAATTCAAATTTTTTCAACCTCGAATTTTTTTTAAAATATTTCTTATAAAATGTTAAAATTACATATATAATATCGGATTAATTTGATCTCAGATTAATTTTATTTTAGTTAAAACCGAACCAACTAACTATAGTCAGTTTTTTTTCAATATGAAATCAATTGATTAATCAATTTTTTTTCGATTTAATTTTGTCATATATAAATAGTAAAATATCTCGCCCAAGTGGATTCAAATAAACCCCTAAACATAAGGTTGGTTCCGCCCCTGATCCTGCCCCACCCCCCATTAGCCTATTCTACACCTACTTAGAAACTGTCCTGGCCTGCTCTGCCCCCCATTAGCCTATTCCCATCCCTACTATTCTATTTCTCATGTTTTTATTTTTTTTAAAAAAAATACAAAAGCAAAATTATTTAGGAAATAACTAAAAATATAAAGACATGAAATATAACGTTTACAATCTTTTAATTTACGCCAACGAAGAAGTACAATCAACCTAGCCCTTGAGATCGTTTCGTTCACGGATAAAGTTATCTCAAAATTAATTATAGAGTATCGAAAGGCGAAAAAAGTACATTTGAAACAGCTCATATTTTCAGTCATAAAGTAGTTGTTTTTTTCACTCAATGAAACCAGTAATAGTTTACTCAGAGTCAGATTCCATGTTTCCCATAGCTTTGAGTCCTCTTGGTCTCTGAAAAAACAACGTAAAATAAATTTATATCGCTCAAATTGATACGATCAAGACTAGACTTGTTTGATTGAGTTTCAAAATCCAAAAAATGTCACGTAAAATGAGACAGACGAGGTATTAAAAAGTAATCTCGAGAGAGAATTGTACCTTCTTGGATACTTTTTTCTCCCTAACTTCATATCGCTCCAACGATAAATCACATAGCCAATCTCCAGGACTTATTAGCTACACAAATTTCAAAATTAACCACCTTATTACATACAACAATAGTAATACTAGCAATTTGACTCAATTAGGTAATTATACATATTTTAAGAAATAAAAATGAAACCATTATGTCTACGTCTATATCTTAATTGCTTAGCCTTTTTTATCTTCTAAAAAAATTTATACAGCCTAACATAAATGAAACATCTCATCTACTTAACTAACTAAATTTATATAACATAAAACATTTCAGTCGATCAAAAATATATTTAAATTAAAATATTATTTTTAAAGCTATCAATAATTAGATAAATAAAAATACAATGGTATACTTCGAAAAAAAAAGGCCGAGTGTGACATTTTTCTTTTTTTTTCTCCTAGTCCTTTGTGCCCACCACAAAAAAAGCCAAAGTTTAGCATCCATAAATATCATTGTCCCACCAAATAGTATTCTTTTTATTAATTAATATAACATAAAGTGATAATTAAAGGAGTAGTACTTAATTCAAGTTTATTTAAAATAACAAAATAATTGGGAAAAAGAAAAGTAGAAGCTTACATTGAGGGTGCGTTGAACAGTTTTGGCTCTTTTTTTGGGTCTTTGAGGCAACTTTGAGCCTTTGATAGCCATGAAATCCTCTTCTTTCTCCTTGTTTGTTAAACCTATCACAAACTTAGATGGCCATACCATCGGAATCGCTTCATTTCCGTCTTCCTTGCTATCCTGCGCACTTTCCGACGATCCAGCGCCACCGTGGTGGTTGTTGTTGTTAGCATAATCATTTCTGACAGTCTTGTGGTGGTTGTGCTTATCGTGCGCACCACCACCCACTTTTTCAGGGGAAGCCATTGATCTCAACCCGTTACTCTTTTCTCTCATCACGATTGATTTATGTGACCTGAAAATAACAAAAATTTGTAAAAACAAAAAAAAAAAATTGTTTCTTCCTTTTTGTCTAACTGCTAAAAATAAATAAATAAATAAAAACACTATGGGTAAAGAGGATAATTACTGAAATAACCTTTGTGTTTGTATAGATCTGAGATTTGGGGAAGGGGCTTTTTGGAGAAAAAACTAATAAAGTGGAAACCAAAGAGAGAGAAACAATGGATTATTTGTCCTAGATTTGAGAAGGAAAAAAAAAAGTGAATAAAAATGGAAAAAAGTAGGGGGTCAAGTGGCAGAATATGAGCCGTTCGATCAGAACTGTATAGAAGGTTACGTGTCCTGATTACAAGATTCCAATTTGTTATTGTTGTGGCAAGCTATCTATTGTGGACCCACATACCTTATTGAGTATGACGATTTCGTGGCGGAGTAGTAAGTGATCTTTTATTCTAAAAAATATCAATGTGAGGAAGTATTATGGGACTTTTTTGATGCGAAATATACTAGTTTGTTCATTCTTCACGTGAATTCACTTTTTTGGAGTCTAACTAATTTAAGATTTACACTAAAAAATTCTTCAATAACTCTGAATAAATTTGCAGGCGACTCTAAAATACCGATTGGTCAAATATATTCACTTGAATCTATAACTTTGTGCATTTTCTATTTTTTCTAGGGAAATTTAGCTAACTAGTCAAAAAACCCAACTTATTTAGTGATATTATCCATACTTTAATAATATTAGTAAATATGTCAAAAATGTCATTATTTTAAAAATAAATAAGTATTTTGATATTAGTGATATTTTCTCTCTTATTATTTACACCCTTTATTCTCTCTCATATATTACACATTTTCCTATATTTATGTAATTGGATAGATATTGATGTCATTTTAGTTTTTCTCTCTCTTTTCTTAAGATTATCAATTTCTCTCTTACTTTCTTTCTATTCAAATCCTCAGATTTTTCTTTCATTTCTTATGCGTCTTTTCAATTTCTCTCTCTAACATTCTTCCAAATCAATTCCACAGATTTTCGATTCAATATATTAAGATTTTCTATTATTCTCATTTAATTTCATTGCAAGATTTTGATTTGAAGATTAACATTGATTTGAGAGTTATATTTTTGAAATTCCTTATTTATTTGGTATATGTTGATAACTACTACTATTATAATTTTTTAATTTAATGATAATTACTAGTATATATTAAGGAACGTAGTTGTTAACAAAAATGAAATACAGGTATAGAACATTTGGAGATCCTCCATCACAAAGATCAGCAGAAGATCTTGCTTTTTCTGTGGCTCGTTTCTTTGCCAAAAATGGGACTCTTACAAACTAGTACATGGTAAATCAACATATTTACTAATTAATTATTGTGTTTTTGATTATTCTTTACTAATTATTATAATTTCAATACCATAGTGGAACAAACTCTGGAAGATCAAGTTCTTCTTTCGTGACTACTCGTTATTATGTAATTTAATTTTGTTGCAGTTTTATTTAGTAAGTAATTTTGTATTTCATTGTTTTATTGTATTTTGTATCCACAGATTTGAAATTGTATTTCATATACTTAATTCATTTTGTATTCTTTTTTTTGTGTGATAGTTTTGTCAACGTACCACAGTTAGTATATTTATTTTTGTATTTCATAATATTATTGTTTGTTGTATTCATAAATTTGGAAGTATATAATTTTGATACTGTTTTAGTCCATATGTATCTTTACAATTAATAGTTGTATTCATTCAAAAATTATGTTGCATTGTTACTGAATTTGACATTTTTTTCTAAGTTGTATTTATTCTAAAGGTATGTCAATTAGTTATGTACTTTATTTAAGAATGAGTACACTAAATATTCAATTATTTCTTTTCAATTTTATATTTTATTCACTTTTTCATCATACTAACTTTTTGTATTTTATATATTATTATACAAAATTCTAAATAAAAACTAGAATAAATAGAAATACAAATAAAATACATATTGAAATAAATACATACAAGATTTTTGAAAAAAAAAAACTATATAGGAAAAAAATATATGAATACAAATATATTTCTTTAATGACTATATAGATACATTCGGCATACTATTGGAATGAATACAAACTAATAAAAAACTATAATAAATATAAATAGGATATATTGTGGAATGAATATAATTTTAAAAAGGTAAAATTTCCGGAGAAAAAAAAAGAACAAAGTTTAAATTTTACCTTTTTTTAAATATTCTCTCCCTTTTGTTATTAAATAATTATATTTTTTAAATAAAAATAAATAATAAAAACATCAATAAGACACATAACAAACTAAAATTTGACATTTTTACTAAATATTGAAAGTGTTGCTAATGAGCCCTCTTAAATATTAAAATATTGACATTTTGAAAAATTTCCCCTTTTATCTATAACAATGATGGTAGAAAGTTGAATGAGTTGGTATGCACCTTAATTAATAATTATAAAAAGTATGGCCCATCTCCTACTACCATAACAAGAAAGAGCTCTTTATAGAATTAATTTTATTTTGAGTGTTTTTAAATTATAAATATTAATTTTTAGTATTTAAGTAAATTAAAAAATACTTATTTTAAAACTAAATAATAATTAAAACCAAAAATAATAAATTAAAATTTCTTATTTGTGAAAGTTGGAAGCCAAACCACAAAAACTACGAAGAGGATAAAGAGAACTTTTTTTTCTTTCCCATATAGCTAATTCTAAGAGCTTTCAGACAAAATAATAGAGGTGGTAGGATTTTAATGTAGGTTTTGGCTCTGGATAATTCTCACTTTTGTCTAAAAAGAACTATATTATAAACATGTTGATATAAAGTTGTCATAATTTTTTAAAGATATTTTGAAATTTTTAAAAATTTAAAAAATATGTTTTGCACAATAATCATTATAACATATTTTGAATTGCATATAAGGCACGATTTTAAAATATGCAATAGAGATGACTCCAACTATCAATTCGAGTAAATTCCCCACCATAGAAAACCACGAGTCTATGACCCCACCAACAAACCTTACTCTCGTGAATAATACTAGGGTACAAACAATCCCAAACTTAAAAATTACAAGTTTTACCTAAGATAAATACATATGACAGATGTTGGGTATTATAAATAAAGAGAAAAAACATAAAGTAACATTTGAAATTATCCCGAATATACAAAAGGACACCTAAGCGTCTTATTATCCTCCTAAACAATTCTAAACTGATATTATTACATCATTTTTTGTCCACCTGATATGGAGAGTGTATGCACTCTCTTAGAGAACGTGAACAAACAAAAAAAAAACGAATATAATTTTATTTTTTGTAAGTATTTTGCTATAAAATACTTTTTAGTTTTTTTTATTATTTTAACTTTTTCTTCTTATTATCTTTTTTCTTTTTCTTTCTTCCTTCTTCTTCAAAAAATTATTTTCATCTTAATTGAAGTTGCTCATTTTAAATGTCACTTTTTATCACAATTTCATCTCCCCTTTTTACTACTATTAATTTAACTATCTCTTTAATTTAAAACTATATCTAAACATTAGTAGGTATTATTTAGTTTTTTAATCCAAATTTTAATTAAATCATCTCTAGTTTTGAAATTATATGAAAATGAGCTAAATTAATGAGATGATTAGGGAGTATCATATAGTTTTTGTTTTATCCGATTTCAATTAAGTTCTTTCAATTTTCAGAAATTAATTTATTCTTTTAAAATTATGATTCTAATTTTGAATTTATATGAAAATGAGTAGTTGATGATACTTCAAAATTTTAAATTATTTAGAAAAATAATTAATTTTGTTATCAATAATTTAGTAAAGTATAAATAATATTATGAATAGAATTTGACCGGAGAAGAAGAAGAAAAAGAAAAAAAATGGGAGTGAGATTCAATTTGACATGAGCGTGGGAGGTGAAGAGAAAAAAAAATGGAGAAAGGTAAAAGATGAAATGAAATTTAAAATAAATCAAAATTAAATTCCAAAAAGTAAGAGAGAGAAGAAACAAAAAAAATAAAGAAAAACTTAAAATGAAAAAAAAATACGTTTTTAATTAAATTAACACGTGTCTTGTATTGATTGGTGTGTAAACACACTTGCTTCTTAAAATTAGGGGATGATCGAAAAAATGGTATAATAATACCGGTTCATAATTGTTTAGTGGGGTAATAGGACAGTTACAAAGTGAAGTGTTTTTTTAAAAATTCGGGACAACTTCAATGGTTATTGTATGTCTTTTCTCTATAAATAAACAAACTTTATCAACTAATGACACATTTTAAAGTTGTGTGAACCTAGACTCAAAACGACAATAGCACTAGCGGGCTGGGCCATTATAAATGGTATTATATTAGAATCACTCATATTTTAGCCTTGTCGATGTGAACCAAGTTCAACTGAATTTAAGCAAATCTCGATAAGGTAGGGCAAACCTCAGTGCTAAGTATATGCAAATCTCATATGGTTGGGAAAACCTCAACGAGAATGCTAAGTCCATAGAGGGGGTGTATGTGACGCTCAGTTTAAGATTAAAGTCTCACATCAATAAAGTATATGAGAGATGTTGCGTACATAAGTAAGCATACCTTACCAACTAGTGACATATTTCAAAGTCGTGCAAATCTAGGTAAAGAGTGAAAAATATCACTAGCAGACTGAATTTTTACAAATAATAGCCCTTGCATGGTGCCCTTGCATCAAGAGAAGCTTTAGGGAATTGGTGTCCTTGTTGGAAACTACGGTAGAAAATCACTTGAAGCTTAAGAATAAATTTGGGTTTAATGACTACTATGAAGTTCCAGCCCAAGATAGATCAGGGGTATTGTCCTGCTTTTATAACACCTCGGAAACTAGTAGGTTGAACTAGAACTAAAACGTGAGAATTAACATCAAGGGAGAATGGGCAAGAGCCAAGGCTCCCCATTTTTGACCAAGACATTGCCCACCAAGACCACGAGGATCTTTACGACCCGTAGGGCCACCACGAGTTGTGATTCCACTCGTGGAGGTGGAGGCAGTAGCCTCGTTAGGCTACCTAAAAAGGTGACCCTTCCACACGAGCCACTTCACGACTCGTGAAGCCTAAGACAACTCATGGGAGTGGTCTTGGGATTTACTTAGTGGGATGACCATTGAGGGTGGCTTGACCTAGCCACTGCTTCATGATCAACGAGAGGACACGACTCGTAGTGCCCTTCGTGAAGTTGCCTTGGGCGTGCGAGCTAAAAGCACAAGTTTCCAGGCCACTAGCTCAAGTCCACGATAAGGACCACGACTCTTGGTTCTTAACCACGACTCATGGAGACCTCGTGTCACTTGGGCAACTAACTTTAAATTAGGGTGATTTTGGGATTTACATGTTCAAGTCCAATTATAGTGGAGTCAGTTTGGGTGAGTTTAGGGGCACTGTACATGTTATTTTTAGATAAATTCACCCAATTTAAGTCATAATTCTCAATCACCCAAATAATTTCTCAAATTTTATCTTCTTTCCCAAAATTTCTCTCTCTAGAACTCAAGGTAGAAGAAAAGGAAGGTTGAAGTTAGGTTTTCAACATACAAGGCTTTTCATTGAATTTTCTTTGGATAATCATAACTAAGGTATGATAGTCCTTTATATATGGATAGTTTTCATCCATGGAGTCCTTCTAAACTCAATTCAAAACTAGCAATTTCCAAAAAAGTTAGGATTTTACTCCGAGTCATGGATTCCTTTTAAAAAATGATTCTATTGATTTAATTATTTGATACTACGATTGAATGGAGGATTTTATATAGTTTTATAATGAAATATCCCAAGAATTCAGCCCCCATATTTTTAATTTGTGACCTTGTGATGTGGGTGAATTGTAGAAAGAAGAGTTTTATGAGATTATGCTTATATAAATTGTAGTGATTGAATCATGTTATCATTCATGTCTAATGTTGTAATTCTATATATGCTAATTGAATGTTATTTATGGTAGTAATTGAATCATGTTATCATTCATGTCTAATGTTGTAATTCTATATATGCTAATTGAATGTTATTTATGGTACTTCAAGCATGAGAGTTATGCATGTTTATGAGGTTTATGTGTATGCTTTTAGATCACTCTGAGAGTAAAGTGAATATGATTATGATCTAATTGTTGTGTTGATTGGATGATTATCCTCATGTACACATTTATAGTTGAATATGATACGATGTGAAAAGTTTGTCACATGTAGTGATTCTAAGGTTGGAAGACTAGTCTCACCTATTGAATCTATGAGCTTTAGTATGAGTAAAGTTAGATTGAATGTCAAGAAATTCTTTCATAAATATGAACTTAAGTCAAGAATATGAACTAAATGAGAATTATGCTTAGCATCGAGTGGATATTTCCAATGAGATGGAAACTCCCGTTAGTAGAGGGCGGGTTTCTAAAATAGGTCTCATGAGATGGAGGCTCATCTGTTAGAAGAGGACGGGTTTCTAGTAGCAAAGCTTCTTATCCTATAAATATGTGCTCACGTAGGTCTTTAGCTAGTGGATTCATCTAAGCTAAGAGTATGATTCTACCTTAGGCAAGTAGGATAACCCTTTTTCGGTGTGAGGTAGACAACGAATTCCATAGTAAGCTCATGTGGTGTATTTTGGTTAAGACTAATCTCCCTTTATGATAGTATGAATATGAATATGAATATGAATATTAAATATGAACTATAGTTACTCAAGAAGCTTTACTTAGTATCTTTGGGATTATGAGATCGTATTCATAAATTACACAAGTATGC